ACCTAATCACTAAAATTGTAGAAAATTCTGGAGTGTAAGAATCAACAATATATGTGTGTACATAAACACTGGTGTATCATTTAAATTTCAAGAAACTCTCCTGACACCTATAAATATAACCAATGTGACATGCCAAAAGACAATATATATTATTGGTTTGCCATACTTAGTGTACTATAAACCTTGGAAGCTATATCTGTGATTGCTATAATGCTTATTAATCATGAATTTCAGATATTTGACCAGGAACGTTTATAGATTTAGAATATAACAAACCATTTAACTTCAGTAGATTCACATTGGACATTATATTTTTATAAAAACATTATATAACTTCATCGGTGGATAATACAGCGTGTGTGGCTGGTGAAGAATTAAGAACAGAGCTAGCTAAATCCCTGTTGAGTAAATTGTATCTACATCATCTCACAATTAATTTGTTCATCATGAACCCTCAATAAAACAAAGGAAGTTCCAGACAAGGTAGAAGATTCAACATTGTTTGTAAGTTTGTAAAACATTTGTACAAAGATCGTTATAAATTGTGTTATTGTTTGTATATTAAAATATATTTGAATTAAAAAAAAAACTGTGTGTATCAATCTTGTTGGCAAGTATCATAAATTGGATACATTCAACATATATTTAATTTCTAAACCTAAATTATCATTTAACTCAGTCTCAGGCTACTAGAAATTATAATATGTAACGTAATAAATTGGGGAATCATCCGGGATCTGAATCAGAGACAAAATTTGATCTAAATTCAAATCATAATTCAATTTATACTTATCAGTGCCAACAAGATTTGATCATGTCTGATTATCAAGATTTTCTTGTATCACCCTCCCTAGAACAACTAGAAAGATATAACAAAAATGAATTGCTCAAAATTGCCAAAGTTTTAGAACTAGAAGTTAAAAAATCAATGAGAAAAAATGAACTAAAAAAGTGTATTATTGAAATACTAGTCAAAGATGACTTGTTGCCTGAGGAAGTATTAGAGGAATATTCTAGTGTCCCCACTGGCCAATCAGAGTTTAGTGATAAAGATAAGTTAGAGATTCAGCTACATCTCAAACAAATCGAGCATGAAAAAGCTTGCACTGAAGCTGAAAAAGAAATTAAGCTAAAATAAATGGAATTTTGACTCAACTCTGATTGACCAAGGCAAAATGACAACTTTGAACTTAATCGATATATTTCCATCATTTTACAAAAGTTGCCCAAACCATGGAAAGGCCCACAGAAAAATGATCATTATTATTAAAAAGTGTCTTAATTCGTAAAGCACAAGAAGCTTATGCCGCTTTCTCTCTAGAAGATTGTATGAATTATGATAAGGTTAAAGCAGCTATTCTCAAAGTATACGAGTTAGTACCAGAGGCTTATTGCTAAGAGTTTTGAGGTTATGGCAAGCAAGATAATCAAAGTTATATGGAATTTGCCCATAAAAAAGGTTTATTTTAATTGATGGTGTAATTCTATGCATATTGGCAATAGTTTCAACAAACTAAGAAAATTATGTATAATTGAGGAATTTAAACATTGTGCATGTGACAATTTCAAAATTTACTTGAATGAAAAGAAAGTTGAAACACTAAAGGAAGCAGCTGCTGTTTCAGATGATTACACTTTAACACACAAAACCACTTTTCATAAAAAGAAATTCCAGCCATCTCACCAAAAACATGTATCTGTTCAATCCATTAAAGTTGAAGATCCTTCTAAAAATTCCAGCTCCTCTAGCTCAATCTTCTGACAGTCAGGATAAAACTTTCTCAACAAACATCAAGGCCTGTCTGCCATTTCTGAAAAAACTTGGTCATGTTTGAAAAGAAAAAGAGAAGGTGGCAGCACCCAGTGCATTTGTGTCCACATATGGATGTAGTTTCACCAGATCACCCAATGTTGGTTGATTTGGCCACTGATATAAAGGCTGAAGTAGTCAGAGAGGAATTTAGACCTTTTGTGTCTGTTGGTTCTGTGTCTTTGACAAATGACACTGGCAATCCCATACCCATACATATTCTATGTGATACTGGAGTGACTCAATCATTATTGTTAGAAGGTATATCATCTTTGGATTCAAGTTCTGCCACTGTCTGTTATTGCTCAGGGTACTGAGGGTGGCTTTCTTAAGGTTCCTCTTCATAACATTTATTTAGCATCAGACCTAGTTTTGGAACCAGTTGTGGTTGGAGTGAGACCTATTCTGCCAATTAAGGGTGTATCATTATTGTTGAGAAACAATTTGGCTGGGGGAAAAATTGTTGCTGAACACAAAATGGTTAGCAAGCCGATCACTGTTTCATCTGTTTCACTGAGGGGAATCATGATGTGTTTCCCTTGTGCTGTAACTCAAGCTCAGGCTAAAAAATTAAACCTAAAACAAATGTTACACTTATTCAGAGGACAATATTATAGATTTGTCTCATACATTTTTTGGATCCGACATGGATCTTGTGGATGATTGTCTTGCCGACGATTCATTGGTGAGTGAAAATGATGGACGTGAAGAATTTGATTCACCTGGAGATGTTGCGTTTGCTTAAAGGAAACTGATCACTGAGCAAGAAAAGGATCCACAAATCTCTACACTATTTAAATATTCACTCCCAAAAGATGAACTGGAGAAAGATCCAAATGGTTATTTTTTCAAAAATGGTGTGCTTATGAGGAAATGGAGACCAACAGATGTGCCAGCTTCAGAGGACTGGGCTGTAGTTTACCAAATCTTTGTTTCCAAAGCATATCATTCTGAAATACTGAAAGTTGCCCATGAACCCCCATGGGAGGTCATTTAGGTGTCAACAAGACATGTGACATATTTATGAGACATTTCTTTTGGCCAAGTATTAGGCAAGGTGTTTCTCAGTTTTGTAAAACTTGTCATACCCGTCAGTTGGTTGGAAAACCTAACCAGAAAATTCCTGTTGTTCCTTTAAAACCTATCCCAACTTTCAAAAAAACTCTTCAGTTTTGTGATTGTTGATTGTGTTGGACCTTTACCAAAAACTCGATTAGGGAACCAATATTTGTTGACTATCATGTGTGTATGCACTCGATTTCCTGAAGCTATCTCTTTGACAAAAATTTCAGTCCAAAATATTTCTGAGGGTTTGATTAATTTTTTCACTTTTGTTGGATTGGCCAGAGAAATTCAGTTTGACCAGGGATAAAATTTTATGTAGGAGTTGTTTCAACAAGTTGTTTATCAGCTCGGTGCTAAACAGATCAAATTTAGTGTGTATCATCCAGAATCGCAAGGTGCTCTTGAGAGATTTTATTGTACCTTGGAAAATATGATACAGACTTACTTACTTACTCAATAATGAGAAGGATTGGGATGAAGGAATTAATTTATTATTATTTGCTCTTCATGAGTCAGTTCAGGAGTCCTTAGCCCATTTGA